AATCACAAAAGCCGCAGAGACACGGGGCCCGTCCACGGAGAGGACGGAGCAGAGGGACCAGGGCAGAGGTCTCTCTGGGAACACCACAGACACAGGGAGAGGGGGGCAGAGTGTCTATAAAACTAAAAGCAACAAGAAAACAACAACCTGTCCACTTTCAAGTCTTTACCCAGTGAAAGTATCTTACAAGAAGGAAACAAAGTGAAACTCTCTCAGATGTACAGACACTTAGAGAACTGACACCCATAGACACTCTATACCAGGAAGAGCAGGGGACCAGCACGAGTCAGAGAGAAATGGGGAATCTACACAAGGAAATTGATGGTATCAGGTATATTTACTACATGTACAAATATGAAACATTTTGTCATGCTAAATTCCATAAAGGATATCACTGTTTAGGCAAAAAAACACATTAACAATGTATATTGTGGTATATAATATATGATAAAGTATAAATATGACAATGTTACCTCAAAGGTTTGAGAGTCAGAGGAACCTGCTATGATAAACTCAGGTGTCTCACTCACACCTAGTTCAAGTCCAATGTGATACTTTCACCCAAAGTCTTAACTTCGGCAGCAGGAGTGATGTGTTGTCAGAATTCCCTGAATCAGGAGAGAAGGTCCCGTGTGACTTCCTGTGCAAACCAGAAGGGAAGCAGCAGCCCCTGTGCAGTGATGGTCCTGGTTGGACACCTGCTCACTCACCTCACTGACACAGGACAGGGGTCACAGTGCAGTGGCTCCTCCTCCCCCTGGTCCCCCTTCAGCTGCTCTGACTCCTGGGCCAGGTGTGTGTGCTCAGTGTGATGTCAGTCCTGCCCCCCATCCCTTAATGTCACAGATTCACGTCACATTGGGCCCACCTGGTTAGGACCACAACCACCTTAGTTTCTCACTGTCCTTCCTGCTCAGACAGACAGACCCTCCCCCAGGGCACTGAGCCTGCTGTCCCTACACTCACTTCCTCCTGCTGCTTCCTCTTCCCATCCTGATGGCAGCTCCAGGGTCCCCTCCAGAGAGACCCCTCCAGCCTCTCCCCACACAGGACCTGCCTGTCAGTTCCTGTGTGATGGCAACTAATATCTGAATACTACAACAGCTGCACAATTATTCCTCTGCAATTATTTTTATTGATTGCTTGATTGATTTCTGCTAATTATTTCCCTCACTAGTCAGGAAAGTTTTGTTAATACAAACACACACATGACAATAAGAGACCTGGGCAGACAGGAGCCTCTTTTCCTCCTGCAGCCACAAGTCTGGACCCGACGGGTGTTCCGCAGACACACCAGCCTGGGAGGTCCTCATGTCTCTCGCTTTCTTACCAACATCTCTCCAGTGCAGGCTCTGCTCTCCTTCTTGTTACAGACAGACCTGAAGCTCTAGCTGTCACAGTCAAGTTCAAGGGGAAAGGCACTGCACAAATCTAGTCTGTTCCATTCCTTCACAAGAGCTCAAGTTCTTAGGGAAATATCCAGCTGAGTGACACACCCATGGGTCAGCACGGAACCACAAGTTCAATGCCGGCCAAGAGGGACCCCAGAAGAGCAATCATCTGGCTTCTGAATGAGGATGGGACACAACACACAGCCGCCATCTCCTGTAGCAGCTGAGGGCGACGCTACAGGAGATGCAGCCAAGGTGAAGCACGAACCACAGAGAAGATGTGCCAGGTTATTGGATAAACCTGCTCCGCCAAAGCTAGAGCCTTAGCCTAAAAAGGCCCCTGCAAAGAAGGGAGACAGGTACCCAAGGGGAAAAGGGTGAAACTGATGCTGGCGAGGATGGGAATAACCCTGCAGAGAATGGAGAGGCCAAAACAGACCAGGCACAGAAAGCTGCAGGTGCTGGAGATGCCAGGGGAAGGGTGTGCATGTTTGATAACTGTGTATTTCTGTGACTGTACAGTCTGAAATACTATTTTCATCAAGTTTTATAAAAATGCAGACTTTCGTTTTGCTTTTTTAAGCTATGTTGTTAGCACACAGAACACATCATTGTTGTTTTGGGGAGAAGGACATAGAGGACAAATAGAACGTCTCCAAAGCTGAACTGACGTGGGGAAAAATCACCTTTCCCATCTGGTTTTGAGAGACTTCTTCTTGGTTCCCAGAGGGGGCATTCCATGGTGTTGGCTCACATTAGTCCCCTCAACACAGACACCTTGTGGTGTGGGAAAGCTATTTATTTTTTGTCCTTTGTCCTCCACTTTAAGCATAGACTTGGCTCCCTAAAGCCCAGAGACCTGTTGGGACCTGACCCAAAAACTTGGTCACAGTATGTGGGGCCATCTGGGCTTTCCAGTGTCACCATGGAGATGGCGTCCCTCGAAAGAACAGCCCTTCCTTTTTACATTGTTGGTCTACAAGTTGCTAATTCTCCCATTTTCCTTTCATTGCCTGAAAGTCAGGGTCAGCTTGTGAAAAGCTGTTAAACAACATGGCGATGTGAGACATCGACCCTCACTCTAAACCCACCCTGTTCAGAGCAGCAGACGAGGACGTCACCACGGTTACAGCGGCTCTCTGGGTGGGCAGTGCACTGATGACAGGAGGGTGAGAGCTGTTGTGAACAGTTGATGGTTGTCCCCCATGTCCTGCCTGAAACCCCAGATTCGTTGTTCATGAAAAGTGTCTTTAATAAAGCTGGATGCAGTTCGGCTTAGGGAAAAAAAGAAAAGACAGCATACAGGTAGAAGGTGGAGGTGACTGTGCTGTGTCATCCACACCAGTGTGTCCACTGTGTGCCCCCATGTGCACACTGGCCTCTGAGAGGCAGGACTGGTCCCATTCACATGTCTCACCCAGGACGCAGTGTCTGGCAGACACAGTGGGGCTGAATCAGTGTTTGCTGGGTGAGCATTTCCTGTCTCAGTCTTTGGGGCAATAGCCGCCAGCGCCCTGTTTTGAGCCAGCAATAGTGGTGGGCATCAGGGAGAGGCAGCCTCTGAGCCCTCTGTCCCCAGAACCACAACCATGAATATTGCCACCCAAGGGATATGTCAGAGAGCCTTCACATGGCCCTGCCCACTCCTCCTCCCAATGAGCCTCTTTGTACTTTTATGGGTGATCTGAGCCTCCTGTGCCTGGTCCTGAGGCCGGCAGTGGTTGTGGAGAGAACAGCAATCCCCCTCAAGACCCTCAGTGCATGGATCAGTGTTGGGGTCCACCCTGCCTGGTCTCAGGAAGCTGTAACCCTCCTCAACTTAGGTTGAGTGAGAGACCTCAGAACCAGGAGCCACTAAGGAGACAAAACTTATTTCCCTGCTTAGGGAAAAAAAGTTCACTGAACGCTGCCTGTTCTGTGCCTGGCCTCCTATGCTTAGCCAAAGACAGGTAAGATTTCCCATGGGGGGATCACTAAGACAGGCATGATCATGAAGAGGCCTCAGGGAAGAGATTCGGGGCTGTGGAAATGAAGGGGTGATCAACATCGACCCTGCCCCCTCGGCTTTGTCAAAGCCCGAGTCCTTGTTCTTAGTTGTGAGAAATCAAAGTCTCCTGGCTGCCTTTGTCTCCTCTGCCCGACTCAGGTCTGCAGAAATAACAGTGGTGGTACAGTCCAGACCAGAGTCAGGGGACCCCCAGGGTAATCAGGCCTGGGACATAGAATATGCAAGATCCTGTGAGATCTGCTTGCTGGAGGATGCTACTGAATTAGAACATGAAGACATGGGCAGGAAACAAGACTAGCCTTTTAGGTCCTGTAGTCTTTTTAAGTGATAAAACACAAACTCTCAGCCCAGAATCCCAGCGGGAGTTCTGTGAGACCCTTGGAAAACACCTATTCCTTTTTTATCTTCTCTGCCAAACTGTAATCCACAAACTGTGTCTGTATTCTTAATAAAAGCCTACTCAGGCAGGGGCTCGAGGCGCTCTCCACTAGAGACAGTGGCCGTTTCGTCCCTATTTCTCCACAGAACCCAGTTGTCCCTCTGTATGTTTTTCTCCTGTTTTGACGAGCCATCCGCAGCGTTCCTCGGTCATTGCAGGTGGGTGGCCGCGTCAGATGAGGGAGTTACCAATTGAGCAGTGGGTTCAGACTCTGCACCTGGACAGACCACACACCTGCTCCTCCTGCAGCCAGTGTAGGAAGGCTACCAGGGGGCAGCAGAGACCACCTGGCAAAGCCTCCCGGAGACTGGGAGGGGCTGGGCCTGAGGAATTCTACCATGCAGGGGGATTATTATCATTTATGTGTTGGAACTATCTGTCCATTTACTAATAATTTAAATAGTTAATTGTGGTAAAACAAGGGGAATACTAATCACCACTTACCATCTTTAAAAAGAGTACCAGGTTTTCTACAGTACCACCTTTGACACTGATGACATAACATACTGACTCTCAGTCTCTCAGATTGGATTCTTGTAGAATTGGTCTGTCTTACCATCACAGGTCCAGGTAAGCCACTCCTTTCCAGCCCACCCCATTCATGCTCCCACTCTGTAACTGTCACACCTTTTCTAACACTGGGGCTGACCCTGGCACTGGCGCACACTGGGGACATGGGGCACAGCATCTATCACCTGTCCCAGGAGCTGCAACTGACTTAGAAACTGACAGCATCTCAGAGGGTCCAAGTGCTGCATGTGCCCTGAGCAAGGTGGCAATCTCCTACAGGCTCTGATGCTCACACACTGTCACTGGGGTGGGATCCTGCTCATATCATCACCACTATAGTTACCACTCTATGGTGAGTCCAGAATGTGCAGACAGATGTCACCTCTGAGGTCTGCTGGGGCCAGGCCCTCCCAGGAATGAGGCCCTGAGACAGTCTGGGGTGGAGATGTCAGCCTCTCGCTGTGGTATAAGGATATGAGCCAGAATCCCCGAGGAATGAGGTGGGGTCCCAAGGGACCACTGCTCCCCTCCCTGAGTTACTCAGGCTCATCCCCCGGAAGGAACCACACGGCTCCTCAGGCAGCTCCCGTGAGCCCTGGCTGATTTGCATACCCAGCAGCTGTCTCTCCAGCAAGGGGATAAGAGAGGCCTGGGAGGAGAGCTGCCCAGCCTGGGGCCTCAGGGAGCAGAAGCAGGGCACCTCCACCATGGCCTGGACCCCTCTCCTCCTCGGCCTCCTTGCTCACTGCACAGGTGCTGCCCCTGGCGCCCAGCCACCCTTATCCCAGGGGTCTGGACAAACCTGACCCTGACTCTGACCTCAGCAGGACACTGCCCGGGGGAGCCAATGCCCCTGACTCTGCTGCAGGATGAGGGGATGGTGGTGCTGTACCCTCCACTGTGCTCACTGGTCTGAGGGAGCCTGAGGGGCTGCACCTGCCAGAAGAAAGGGACAGGAGAGTCCTCATTTCTTCACAGGCTTCAAGGGTCAGCTGGATCCGTGGGACACATGGGCTGAGACTGATGGGCCAGAGAATCCCTGTAGTTTGTTCCAGCACAGACAGGACAGGGTCTCCTGGGAAGGGGTCCTTCACCCTTAAGCCCACCTCTCTCCTCTCCTCTCTTGCAGGCTCTGTGTCCTCCTATGAGCTGACACAGTCATCCTCGGTGTCGGTGCAGCTGGGACAGACGGCCAGGATCACCTGTGGGGGAAACAGCATTGGAGATAAATATGCTTACTGGTACCAGCAGAAGCCCGGCCAGGCCCCTGTGCTGGTCATCTACAGGGATAGCAACCGGCCCTCAGGGATCCCTGACCGGTTCTCAGGCTCCAACTCGGGGAACACGGCCACCCTGACCATCAGCGGGGCCCAGGCCCAGGACGAGGCTGACTACTACTGTCAAGTGTGGGACAGCAGTAATGATGCTCACAGTGACACAGGCAGATGGAGAAGTGAGACAAAAACCTAAGCCAGAGTCACATTCTCTTCAGGCCCCAGGAGGACTGCAGACAAAGCCATGAGCAGCCTTGGCCCAGGTCCCATTTCTCAGGTCTCCCAGTGGCCCCTCCTCCCAGCCTCAGGCAGCTGTGCAGAGGGTGGGTCAGGTCTGGATTCAGGGGGCAGGACCAGGCTGGCCTGCTGTGTGGGTGCTGCGGTGTAGGTTCCTGGAGGGGCAACTGATAAAAAGACAGCCTGCTGCAGTCCTGTGTGGAGAAGTAATGGCCCTTCAATTTCTACACCATGGTGACTGGGCCGCTCCTTGGAGAAACTTCAGGAATTAATCCCTACAACCTCCCAGCTCAGCTGAGCTCTACACGCCCCAAGCTCCGTGCCACTCAGGACTCTGAATGGGGCCAACCAGCGTCTGCACACCCAGCACCCCTGCTGGAGCCCAGGTGACCAGGGCTGCGCCCTCACTGGGAAGTTCCCATGAGGCAGAAAATTGCCTTCCTCAGGGTCATTCCTTTCCCGAAGTGTGACTCAGTTCTGGTAACCACCCAAGGCCAAGATCCACGGCCTCAGGTCACAAGGCCCTAGCAGCCCCCATTTGAGTCCCTTCTTGTCACAGCTTTGCAGTTCCCAGGTCATGCCTCTGCCTCTGAGGTTCCTCCCAGAGAGATCCCCTGACAGCCCCCTGAGTGAGGTTCTCCATGTCAGAGGGAATCTCCAGGGCCCCAGAGAGGAAATCACAGCCCAGGGGGAGCGTGTGGGAGAGGAGAGGGCCCCACAGAGAGGACACTCTGGGCGTCTCCAAACATTCCCTGACACTGGTGAGCGCACGTGGGAGGACACCAGCTGAGGCTGAGGAGGGAGCCCCCCAAGGACATGGGAGGGACAGTCACAGGTCAGCACCCCAGCCAGCAGGGCTTGTGCCCAGTCAGGGGGCAGCTCCCAGTTCAGGCGTCAGGTGGACGAGTCAGAAGCTCTGTGCCCCACACAGGGGAACTTAGTCCCCAACCAAGGTCTGTGCTGGTGGCATCTCAGAAAGTGTCAGCGAGAGCAGGTGGACACAGGATGGATCTGTGACCAGTAAGTCACTGAACCCCAAATGGGAGTCCCCGACACAGGGGGACGCACATGTGTTCCAGATCCAACAGGAACCAGTCCTGTTGCCTGACCCCCTGTCAGACTGTCCTGCGAAGAATCAGGAAAACAGGACTGTTATGAATGTAAAAACCACTTTGTCCAGAATGGCCCTGAAGTGGTCCAGATGACACCATTTGTGGGCAAGCAGACAGAAAATGTGACTGTAACAATATTTCCTCCATCACAAGGGAGGAAGAATGATTTGACTTGGCAAGGAAGACACAGAGGCCAAAAATCCAAACTGGAAACCTGGATATAAAAGCTGCAATATCAGGGATTGAAAATGCACGGGATGAGACTGAGAGCCCATGAGATGCTACCAGAGAAAACACTCAGCACTTGCTGTCAGAGAAAGAGTCTGTTCATAATGAAGCAGAAAGTAACACAGACCAAGGTCAGAAAGGGATCCCTCTTCTCCAAACACCTTCCATGTGACTGTTTGTAAAACACTTTTCTCCACGATATACAGGGTCCAGCACCTGAATGAAGCTCAGTCTGATGAGGGCAGGTAGTTCAGCACCAAGACCCCAATGGCCCAGGAAGGAGTTGGGACAGAATAAGAGGAAGTGAGGGTTTCCATGGTGACTGAGACCAGAGCACACAGGTCCCCTGGGATGGACTAAGATGCAGATGCAGCTGCACCAGGGAAAAGTGGGCCCGGGAACCTGCCTATTTGACAGTCCCTCCTAGGACCACACTGGGAGGGGCTTCACTCCTGTCCACCTGCCACTCAAAGCTCAGTGACAGTCACCACAAGAAGACACCATCTGTCAATCACAGGGGACCTGCTCTCTCTCCCTCCCAGGCTCCTGGTGGTCTTCACCCTGCCCTCACTTCTGCCCACATCTGTCCCTGCCATCAGGGTTGGGGCCATTCTGTCCTGACTTCTCTCTTCTCCCTGGACAGGCATGTGTGGACCCTGGACAGATGGTGACCATATACTGTGCAGGAGCAACAGTGACATTGGACATTATAATTGTAACTGCTGATATAAACAGCCATTTAACACAGCCTAATGTGGCTGAGATAGAAGGTCAGGAACCAAACTGCACGACCCCAGGGGACAGCACAGCCTCTCTGAGCCTCCCTCTGTGCTCCATGCAGCCCTGAGGCTTGTAATTATGGAGGTTCCCATGCAGGGCAGGGAAGGGTCTCTTTGCCACAGTGTCCCAGTGCTGGGAAGGGGAGCACAGTCCATCCTGGGCTGGCCCTCCTCTCCCCCTGTCCCCTTCTGTGTTGTCACATCCCCTGACAGGAGAAACCTTCTATCTTCAAAGCTGAAGGAGTGAGTCCCTCTTCTCTCCCACCACATCGCCCAGTGTGTCCTTCTGAACACAAGCACATGAGGCCTCTTAAGACCAAACCAGCCTGCTAAGGTCTGTGTGCCGAGACAGAAGGATGGCGCAGGACAGGCAGGTGCATGTCGTGTCCCTACCCCACTGAACCTGGGTGTGACCAGAGCAGGGCCTCATCTGCAGATCCTGCCTCCAGCCATAGCCTCCACCCAGTCCTAGCACAGGCTCTCTCCTTCCAGGGTTCCAGGTCTGTCGTCTCTTCCCTACAGCTGCCTGGAGCTCTGCTAGAGCCCTGGGTCTTCCTGTGAAAGGGGACCCCTCCTCCTCCTCCTGCATCCCCATCTCTGCTCCCCACAGGCAGGTGATCCCAGCTCCCACCCTCATCCTCCACAGGATACCGATGCCCACCTGGCTGACACCACCTTTCCCTTTAAGGTCCTGGAGAAGAGTCCCCTCCCCAGGGAGGCCATCCGTGATGCAAACACTGGGAGACACACTTTTCCTGAGGGAACTCGTCAGACCCCGGGCCCCTCTGCAGCTCTGAGCACAGCCCCCACCTCAGCCTGTCCCCTCCGGCCCCTCAGGCTCAGTCCTGGGAGGGGAGACGCCCACAGGGCCTCGCAGAGCAGTGAATGGGAGCAGCTGCTCTCAGGGTGACCCCCACACTGGGCACTGCAGACGCTCCTGTGGGCCAGCACAGACCCTGGGGACCTGTGAGCACTCCTCACTGTGACCCCAGAAGGAGCTACAAGGGGGACCCAGGTCTCAGGGTGCAGGGGAGACTGTGCTGTGTGGGGACAGAGGCAGCTCCTGGGAGCAGGGTCAGCCCCTCAGGGGAGGGAGCTCAGGGCAGGAGCCCCACCCCAGGGGGTGGTGATCAGGGACACAGAAGCAGCTGGTGTCCTCAGAGCTGTGTCCTTGGAGGGGACTGTGCAGGTGCTGGGGCTGCAGTCACAGACCCCACCACGGGGGTGACACAGAGATTTACTATCTCAGATCTGAGGGTGACAGTGTGAGATCTGTGGTCCGCTGGGTCGGTGGTCTGTGGGCTGTGGAGGAGAGTCCCCCCCACCTCCCTTCCAGCTGCCGGGGGTCCCTGGCATCTCTGCTGACCTCGGCTGACAGACTCTGCCTCCCTCCTCACAGGGTGGTCTCCCTGGGGAGCACCTGTTTCCACATTTCCCTTTTTATCATGTCACCCGTCCAATGGGGTAAGGGCCCACCTGGTCCAGTGTGGCTTTCTGTTAACTAATTACTTCTACAACACCCCCATTTCTGGTGATCAGAACAGGGTGCTGGGGAGAGTGACCTCCCGGGACTTGTGTGAAGGGCATGTGTGTGTGCACAGACGAGTGTGTGTGTGCCTACAGTGTGTGTGTGTCAGTGTTGCCAAGAAACACTTCCAGTGTCACATGTCCCAAACCCTGGCCCTCGCTCCCCACCACTCTCTGCACCCATCACCCAGGGCCTTTGCCCTGCGTGCCCTGCCAGGGAGGGCATGGAGGGCATGGACGGGAGGGGGCAGACACTCACTGCTCCCCCACAGGTGCCAGCCCCGCTCTCAGCACCTCAGTCCCTCAGCTGTGTGGCCGCAGGGGCTCTTTGTGCCACGCAGTCCCCTCCTCACCCCCGTCACAGACGGGGAGGCTGAGGCCTGGATGCAGGGGCCCTGGGCTGAGGTCACCACTGCAGAGGGGCAGCACGCCGAGGTCCTCTGGCCCCAGGGTCCCTGGTCGTCACCATTGTCCTCGGCCTCTCTTTGTGCTCTCAGTGCTGAGATGTGTCTGCTCCTCAAGGTGCCAGAAAGTTCTCTCTGCTATCTCAAAAGCAGGTGACTGATGGAGTGACTTTCCAGGGTGTCCTGTCCAACAGAAATAAAACTGTGAACCACACGTGTGACCTAAAGTTTTCCAGGAGCCACACTGACAAATGGGAAGAGACCAGTGGCATTAGTTTCATAGTAGAATTTATTTAACTGCCTTAGTTGAAAATATTTTTATTTAATTGTGAATTAAATATAACATATTGATATATTTTCCATTTTTCTTACACTGAGGTTTGGAAAACAGGGACATATTTCGGTGCCCCCCCCCCCCGCACTCTGCACATGCAGCCTCTAATGTTAAGAGATGCAGGTTCCTCCACGGGGATGACCTGAGTGCTAGGAGAACCTGGGGACAGGAGGCAGGACCGTGCGTGACTCAGGGACTCAGGAGGCTGGGACCTGGGTCAGGGGAGGAGCAGGATGAGGGACATGGAGAGGGGCCAGGCAAAGAGGGGATCCACAGGTCAGGCTCTGAGGTCCGGCTCTCGGATTAGATTCTTGACTCAGCATCACTGTCTGGGGGGCTCTTGGAAAGTCATACCCTCCCAGTGAGGGCTTCCGCTCACCGGACAGGAGGAGGGGCTGGGCTGAGGTCGGGTGGGGGTGCAGGTAACACAGTCATCAAGGGTGAGATTTTCTTGAGAGCTGAAAAGTAATGGACAGTCACTCATTGAAGGAGCTAAACATTGTAGGATGTCTCGCACCCTGCAGACAGCAGGGGGCGGTGTGGAAATGCCTTCAGGACTGATGGATCTCATTTCT